GGAAGGAGGAGGCAGGGCGAACGAACGAAAAGAAGAATCGGGAGGAGCAGCTTTCGGGTCGCAGAGGAGGAGCGGCTTCGTCGTGTGGAGGAAAGGGCGTGCGGGATCGAGCGGGAGATTGGGATCGAGCAGAGAGCGGGCTTCTTCGATGCAGGGAAGAGGCGAGTAGGCGAGCTCCTTAGCGATGGGAAGAAAACGGGATCTTTGTATTACGCCCCTTCGATAAAGACGTTACGTCGGGAATTAAATGGATTCCGTTGATTGAGAAATTCCGTTGATTGAGAAATTCAAATGGAAAGCTCATAACACCTAATTAAAGTGAGATTGGGCGGACTTTCTTTTGAAATTTGAAATTTAAGATTCAAAATTGGTTAACACTTGCTAAGCCTGAATCAAACCCAAGTTGAGCCCAGACCCGCGCTCTGCTAACGTGCATCGATTTTCGTGCCATATGTGTGTGCGTGTAACCCTAGAAATATGGGTGTCATGTCCTTAGCTAAAGTTGACGTCCCGGACGCGTCGACGCGGTCCGTTTTGTCATCCGGGGTCGTCCGGACGAGTTCGCCGACGGGCGAGTCGATTCAAGTCAATGTCGTGTATGGTGCAGTGAGTGCGTGAATTGCAGCGTTCGCGAGTAATCGAGTTACAAAAGGTTCACCTAAGGCCGTTTAATCCTATAGGAACTCATTTTCGGGCCCTCTACATGTTGGTCCTTAGCGGTCCTTAGCCCTTGTTTAGCCCTTGTAACTAGAAGTTGAGTGCTTAGAACCACTCATGCGAGTTCTTCACAAAAATGAGTCAAGAAGTGACTTGAAGCTCTACGGGAGATGGGCTCTATTGCTAGTCCGTTAGGATGGTCAATAAGAACTCCTAAAGCTAGATCCTAGGTTCTAAGAGTAGGAGACTAAGACCTCACTAAAAATGAGGTCAACAATTATGTATTTAAAAATTGAAGTTTATCTGTTAGATATGTAAATACATAGGAATTGAGTGGTCTATATGTAAATCTTTCTAATATTTTATTAGACGGGCATGTAAAATTAGTGTTGGAGGGTTAGAGGTAACAAGATAGAACCTAAGGTAAAATGGATGTGAATTGTTTAAAATGTTTTATAAAGAATAGATTTTAACTCCTGAGGCAAAATACGCAACAAGAATAATGAAAAATGAAGATTCTGACTCTAATGAGTTAGGAGGTTAATGATGATAATGATTCATTTAGCACATCTTATATCACGAGTACTAGCTTCTTTATTTGCAAGAGGGTCATAACGGTGATAATACTATAATATATTCTAGTGCATGAAATTGAGCATAACATAACATAAACATGACAAACTAATAATATTCTATGGCTATCCCATTCATTTTTTGCTTGGAAGATATTGAATCCTTGTCTTCCCCTTGAGATGCAAAGGCCGACACCACTAGGCTACATGCTTAGTGTTTATACATCATAACATTTTATTATTGTTTGATGATGCATTTTTCTTCAATTGTTTTCATTTCTACCTTTTCCAGGCTTCAAAATTAAATTTCTTCCACATCCATGTTCTGGGAAGAGTGCTGGTGGCCTGGAAATTTATTAGTTCATTTACAAGACAATATCTCCAAACTCAAATTTTTCTTAAAACTTGTTTATTTCCGTAACATTTGATGGTTCACATTTCTCTTATTGTTTATAGATTGTCTCAGCTCTCGCAATTGATCATTCTGGATCGAGAGTGCTCTCTGGAAGTTATGACTACACTGTAAGAATGTATGATTTCCAAGGAATGACTTCCAAGTTACAATCATTCAGACAGTTGGAACCTTTCGAGGGACACCAGGTTCGGAGCATAAGTTGGAGTCCCACATCAGACAGATTTCTTTGTGTAACAGGTTCAGCACAAGCTAAGGTGCCTACATTTGGCTCGTATTAATCTTTGGATTGTAATTATTTTTATTTTCATCGATCAATCATCTATAAGCAGGAAATTAATTGCAGATTTATGATCGAGATGGACTTACTTTGGGTGAGTTCATTAAGGGAGATATGTATATACGTGACTTGAAGAACACCAAGGGTCATATTTCTGGCTTGACTGGTGGAGAATGGAATCCCAAATCCAAGGAAACTGTCTTAACTTCTTCTGAAGATGGTTCTTTGCGAGTATGGGATGTGAATGACTTCACAAGTCAAAAACAGGTTTGATTGGAACTTGTGTTTTTGGGTTATGAAAGTTTTGAACAGACATTTCTTCAATTTTTTTTTGGACAATTTGATTCAGTTTTAAAGTTAGTGTTTCAAATATCGGTTTTGATTAGTAAAATATTTGATTTCTTGGTTTTGGATCGGTTTGAGAATCACAATTTTGGACAAAACCTTAAATCCGATTGAATGGTAATAAAACACATTTCACAAGTCACATTTTTGGTTCTGCCTGTCTTCTCCATTCAAGCTGCCATGAAAATAACTAATTATATTTCTAATTATATATTTTTAGTAATTCTTATTGCTTATCAATTATATAATAAAAACCGCATAATATATATGCATCATACAAATAAATTTTAAATATAACTAATTTCGGTTTAATCCAAACCAAATTGAAATAACCGAACCAAATTATTGTTCTTTCTGCATTTTCTTTAATCGGTTTGGTCCAGATTCCTAGATGTTCAAAACCACTTGGTTTCACAAATTTGTCATCTGAACTGTACCCGCCGCACAATGCACCCCCCTAACCTTTTCAACATGTTCTGTAATCCAGTTACATGGGCATGCCTGAAATTGCAAAACTGATGCATATACTCGATTACAATATTTAATTATCCGATTTTCACTTTACTTTTTTGGCAAAAAAAATGCATATACTGCCATTTCAATGATGAAAATTATCTCCAGGATATCTAATAGCTTTTCTGTTAGGTTATCAAACCTAAGCTTGCTAGGCCAATGAGAGTTCCAGTTACAGCATGTGCATGGGATCATGAAGGCAAACGCATTGTTGGCGCTGTTGGTGATGGTTCCATACAGGTTTCTCAGCCAAAAATACTTTATTTCATTTTTGGGGCATTCACATACATACCATCCAATTCCTATGTATTTACATATATAACAAAAACCCTTTTCATTTTTACTGTCCAAATCTTTCACATCACATAAAAAAATATCACCATTTTAACTATTGAAAAGTGAGACATACTTATGTAAGGTTGCCATATATTTTAAAATGGAAGCTTAGGAGTTAGATATGTAAATACATAAGATAAGAATTGAGCGTTACGCATGTAAATCTTCCTTCATTTTTCTTGTTCACACACATTTATTTTATATGCCATCTTGCTGTATGCTTCTGAAAATCATCTTTGAGATAATGGAAATCTGTACAGTTATGGAGTATCAAGCCTGGATGGGGCAGCAGGCCAGACATTCATGTGGAGATAGCACATAAAGATGATGTCAGCGGACTCAAGTTCTCAGCTGATGGCTTAATTCTTTTGTCCAGAAGCATGGATAGTACACTTAAGGTACATATATGTACTTTTTTTGACCAGTTCACAATTTATTTTTTTTTTTGGTGAATAGTTTCTAAGATTAAGAAAAAACTTGCACAGTATGGGCCGGTTTTTATGTTCTTATTTTTATTTTGTCTTTTATTTTTGAAAATATATTTGATTGGTATAATTTTTATACAGTTTTATTTTGTGAAATTTACATGTATACCACACAATTCTTATGTATTTACATATCTAACAACTAAAGTTTGATATTTACATTTATAACACTTTGGTGTCATAAACTTATGCATACAAAAGTGTATTTCACTTTTAAAAAAATGGTGATCTTGTTATTTTGGATTTAATGTTAAAGATTTGAGTGGTATACATGTAAATATAGATGTTTAGGTGTTAGATATGTAAATATATAAGAATTGTGTGATATGTACGTAAATGCCTCTTTTATTTTTTATTTTTAGCAGCAAATCAACTTGTTTTAAGAACACTTAAAATATCTAGAACTTATTTTGAATATTTTTAAAAACGACTACATCAATTAAACCTGTTTTAATTTAAATCAAAACATAAATAAATAAATGAAAAACAAAAAAGAAAAAATGATCTTCTTGGTATTTTTGGATTTGCTGGTAGGTTTGGGATTTGAGGCAAATGAAAAATCCTATCAAAATATTCGAAAACATTCCCAATCACTATCCCCAAACAAACGCTGCATTTAGTCCGGACGAGCAGCTCATCTTTACTGGAACATCGGTTGAAAAAGAAGACACAACTGGAGGCACGCTTTGTTTCTATGACAGGAAGAAACTTGAACTTATATCAAAAATTGGAATCTCCCCACATCAAAGTGTGGTGCGCTGTGCTTGGCATCCCAAAATCAACCAGGTTATGTTGAACTTCACTTTTATCTGTTCTCTATGTATTTTCATGGATTTCAAATGGTCCAATTTTGATGTTGTATTGGCTCATCTTTCGAGTAAATTGCCAAAATAAAAGGAATCATTTTAGGCCTAGAGTTTATAAAAGTGCTAAATTTGTCCATAATTTTTTAAAATTTGAGTTGAAATAGTTCTCATTCTAGACTATTCAACTTATATTAAAAGAGTTTGGGGACTAAGTGGACACTTTTATAAACTTTAGGACTAACATGACCCCTTGTAAAGAGTTGAGGATAGAGGTGTAAACTAGTAAAGTGTAGCCCGAGCCAGCCTTGGTGTGAGCTTGATCTTGATTAATAAATCAAGCTCGAGCTCAAACTTAAGTTTACGAGTTTGAGATGGTTTGTTTATTATAAAAGAGAAAATAATATTACTTTAAACTAGTGATATAATAAAATGACAAATATAATACAAATGCATGATAAAAAAAAAATTTATTTGATATAAAATATAAATTTTAATTTTTTAAACATTTTTAGTAATTTAAAGACAAAGTCTTGAAATTTGATATGTTTTGAGTATATTTTATATTAATATTTTTAAACAAGTTGGCTAACGAGCTAATGAGTAGAGTTGGGGGTGACTTGAGCTTGGCTTGTTAGCTCATCAAAGTAAGCTCACGAGCCACTTATCAAACTGAGCTCGAGTTGGCTCACTTACACCTCCTAGTCTATGGTCTATTTTGCCACTTTTCTCCCTATCTTTCCTTTTCTTCCTAATGTAAATCTTAGTTTGTTCTTCAAAGCTTGATTGTCAATATTAAAATAAAAGTTTGGCTGATATTTCTGAAGGTGTTTGCAACGGTGGGCGACAAAAAAGAAGGCGGCACACACATACTATATGATCCATCGATGAGTCATAGAGGAGCTCTTGTATGTGTTGCGCGGGCGCCGAGGAGAAAATCGGTCGATGATTTTGAGGCACAGCCAATTGTTCACAATCCCCATGCCTTACCTTTATTTAGAGACCAACCTAGTCGTAAGCGGCAGAGAGAGAAGATCCTCAAGGACCCTCTGAAATCACATAAACCTGAACTTCCTGTAAATGGCCCAGGCTTTGGTGGAAGAGTGGGTGCTACTAAGGGCAGCTTGTTGACACAGTACCTTATGAAGGTCTGTAACTCCCTATTGAACCTAATTCCTATGTATTTACATATTTAATACCCAAAGTTTACCACAGTACCTTATGAAGGTCTGTAACTCCCTATTGAACCTAATTCCTATGTATTTACATATTTAATACCCAAAGTTTACTTTTTTTTACATTTATACTGTTCGAATCTTTCATATCACATAAAAAATATCACCTTTTTAACTTTTAAGAAGTGAAATACACCTTTCAACCATAGGCAAGGTGGTCTGTTTGTAAAAAATGAAGTTTGGGTATTAAATATGTAAATACATATGAATTGAGTGGTATGTATGTCATCATTCCATATTTTTAATCGAGTAGAGTGCTAAAATAGCCCCCTTACTATATACATGGGTTCAGTCTAGTCTCTGAGTTTATAAAAGTGTTAAATTAATCCCCATATTATTTTAATATGGGTTGCAATATTCCTCAAAGAGAACTATTTTAGTCCCCTTTAAAAGAGTATGGGGGAGTAAATTTACATTTTTATATACTCGGACGAAAATGACCTATGACAAATTGTCATAGGACCATTTTGACACATTTCTCTATTTTAATCATTCTATCTACAGGAATGAATAATGTTTGAGTTGTTAATGAATATTTTAATCGAGTAAAGTGCTAAAATACCGCCTTGAAAACTTACACGGGGTTATTTTTGTCTCCGAGTCTATAAAAGTGCCAAATTAATCTCCAGTCTATTTTAATATTGGGCTGAAATAGCACTCAAGGATATATATTTTAGCCTCTAAAAAAGTTTTGGGACTAAATTGGCACTTTAATAAACTCCAGGAGGGGTCTTTTTTTACACTTTTCCCTATTTTAATCATTCTATTTAGAGGAATGAATAATGTTTGACGTTTTATGTTGCAGCAAGGTGGTTTGATCAAGGAAACATGGATGGAAGAAGATCCAAGAGAGGCCATACTTAAATATGCAGATGCTGCTGCAAAAGATCCCAAGTTCATAGCTCCTGCTTATGCAGAGACTCAGCCGAAGCCTGTTTTTGCCGAGTCAGATTCGGACGACGAGCAGGAATCAGGGCATTAATTATTTGTATTCTTCAAATCCCTGGTTAGTCCTAACTTATTATTATTATTATTTTTTGTATACAATTACCTTGGTTTATAATACTGAGCGGACATGTTTTTATCCCACAGAAGCAGCAGTCAACAGAAGTTCTGTTGGGTTGAAGGGAAGCGGAGAAAATGAAATTTATGCCCAAAAAAGTTCTAAGGTAGTTTAGTGAAGCTGTTGTGGGGTTCAGCTGCATTGAAAGTTTAGACATTCTGTAAGTAACATAGCATATTTCGAAGGAGTATGACGAAATATTCATTTTAAGAGTACAGAACTTATAGCAAAATCATGAATTCGATGATATGTAAATTGATATTTGAATGATTAATTGAAAAAAAGAAGTTTTCTTGAAAACATTAACCTCTAATATTTAAGAATGGCAAGTTAATAATATGTATACTTTGCATTTGTCGCCTTCTATTTGGCTTGATAAAATTATATCTTGAAAACTTTTAAGTGTAAATCGGTTTATAATACTTGAAATTATTTTTCCATTTTATTTATTTAGGTGATTGTTGATAGTGTTATCGGATGTTTAGTGGCTGTCCTGACCCTTATAAGATAATAGTAAGTCTATGCCGAGCAGCTTAACTCAACTCTTGTGGTTAAGTTAGTCTTTCTTATCTTTTTTCATCTCATTCCTTGGTTTCTGGTTTGTGAAATTTACTTGGATGGTTCAATTCATACATGCTAACATGGGGTTTCTCATTGTGTTAGGTCCACTATCTCAATGGCTAAGCCGATATGGAGTCTAATAACCCGGGACAATGAATCCTAGAAATGTATTTTGATGTCCACCAATTCTCAATGGCTAAGCCGATATGGAGTCTAATAACCCCGGACAACGAATCCTAGATATGTATTTTGATGGCCGCCAATTTTAAAGATCTCCTTTTCCATCTTTTGACCCCTTTTCAGCCCATTGTCATTTTATAGTCTCCTTGTTGAAACACGTCTGCCCATTGTGATATGTTTGATTCACTTTCTACCGCATAACCTGGCTTAGCTTTGAGTCATGAGATAAGAATGGATAATATTGTCACTTGTTAAAATATAAGCAAAAATAAACCATCAAAACGCATTCATTTGGGAGTCTCATGTACCTAGAAGAAAAAAAAAAGTTTCTTTGGTTTTATGTTGAGGGTTTTCATAGGGTTTTTTTTTTTTTTTTTTCGTGGATTTGTTAGGGTTTGGTTAGTATGCTTCATTTGGACATCCGTTTAAGGTTCATTTCACGGAAATTGTTTTATAAAAAATCTCAACATCCTTTTTATTTTGTTTGTTTCTCTCTATCATCTTCCTCATTCTTATCCATCCCCATTCTCATTTCCATCCTCTTCGACTTCATTTTCTTCTCATCTATATCATGGAGCGGGTTGTAAGAGGCTCACAATGAAGATGATGTAATGATCTTGGAAGAGTGGTTATTTGAAATTGTGATATATGGGGGAAGGGCGAAACAAAGGGCTAATAGTTGCATATAATGATGGTCATTTTGTTATGACCCGACTTGATGCAAACCCCGTCGAACTCTTTAACAAAATCAAAAAATGAATTCCAGTTCAAATTAGAACCATGTAAGACACTAACCAATAGGCATAGTTCTCTTTAACTTCCATGATCTATTAAATAAAAATATAAAATATACATATTATATACAAACTAACATAATTCCACTAAGATTCCACCATAACATAGTATACGAAGAATCATAGCAAATAATCATGGTATGCCTTTACACATTTTAATAAAATGCAACATATCAGGACCATTAAAAAGTCAAATACAGCCCACCAAGAGTATGATTGATCATTTAAAACAACCTTTGACTTTAATCTAAGGCAGCTTATCTTTTATCAAAATCAAAAAGCATACACATATGTGAAGATGAATAAAATGCCAAGTAAGCATAATATGATTATCACCTAACATATTGCAATCAATAAATGTCTCATATCAATGTGTATAAATGAAATAATTATAATGATAAAATTCATCTATAGATGACATAAAATATAATATGTGGTTGAGTATAATTTGTATGTTATGTCATGTCAAATAATGGAATTTGTCACATTGAAAATAACTTGTGATAATGTTTAATAATATATATATTGGCATAAAGGTTTTTGGCCAACATTCCATGCTCAAGCAAGTCACATAATGTGATTAATTGTTTCCTTTCAAATAATATTCTTATGTTTCATTGCAATATCAATCTCACTATTCTATGCCCAAGTTGTCTTATAATTAAGATCATCATCCCTTGTAGCCCATTAGTAATATCAATAGTGGTCAATCACTCTCTAATTTTTATATTTGTACCACCCAAAACTTTCAAACGTCAGTAAAAATATCATCATTTTATCTTAAAAAAAAATGAAACACACTTTTTCATACAAAAAAAAAGACATAAAAAGTAAAAAAAATGAATTGTAGACGTATCATAAATAAACCTTCCATCATATAAAAATATAGGAAAAGTTACGTAAGTAGCACATATATTCTCATGTATTTACATATGGTTAATCTTTATTATTTACATATAAATAATATTTTGGTGTTTTAAATTTATGCATAAAAATTTATTATTTATTTTTAAAAAGAGATAATAATATTATTTTTATTTGTGTTACTATACTAATATGAAAATTTTTGTGTGAGAAATGTAAATATATAAAAATTGTGCGCTACCAGTAGCTAAGAGCATGTGTGTGTGTGTGTGTCAACCTACCCACAGCCTCTGTTGCACGAAGAAATATTGCCTCAGTACTACGCATGTTGACCTACGTCCATAGCCAATCAAATGCCGCCTCGCGGAAAGCACAGCCCCACCTATTAAAGCACAGAAAAATAAATTTCATATTATTCGCGACCCGGTCCGACCCTAAACCTGAAAAATTTCCCGCCAGCATAAAAATATTTCGCGCCTACTTACTGTTCTATTCGCAGGTTGTTCTATTGCAGGTGAAGAAATATTTCGCAGCTCCGCAGTTACGGTTTCAATGGAGGTCTCCATGAACGTTTGAGATGTCGGAGGAATTACACTCATCATTCAACCTGAACTTTGAAGATCAAATGAGTTTGTAATGATCTCTAGTTTTATGTTAGTTTAGGATTTTCATTGTGTTTCTGGTATTTTCATTTTGTTTGTGGTGTGATGATATCAATTTTTGATGTCACGAATGTAGGGTGTCCACCTGCACGATCTGAGATAAGATGGCTTACGGTCTGTCCGTAGCCACCCGGTAGTTTGGACACCCCACTTGAGACCTTTCGGCGGGTGTTGAGGGACACGTTGCCAGGGTCATTTTTCTAGACTTTGGCTTTCGCGTAAGCGAAGGCCGGTCGGAATTTGGCATGACAGACGACTCTGATCGGGGCAAAAAATATTATTTGTCGCGTCGCATGCGAAATTGGTCCGAGTCGGCCCAATCTCTAGTGAGCCCATTCAGATGAGCCCGGACGATGAAACGGACTGCGCGACCACGTCCGGAACGTCAATTTTACTTAGAAAGGACGTTCAGTTGGCTACAATTTTGTGGGCGAGCCTAAAATACGTGAATTATTATTTTTTTAGCCCGATTGCTGGAAAAGTGATCTAAGCGGCGTCAAACGACCCCGAATGACAAAACGGACCGCGTTAGCGTGTCTGAATTGTCGATTTCACCTTAGTAGGACGTTCAACACACCACGATTTCAAGGACGAATAAAAAAATATATATGAAAATTATCTTTTTTGGCCCGTTAGTAGAAAAAGGTGGTCCGGACGGCCCCAAATGGCAAAAAGGACTGCTCGGATGCGTGGTCCGGAGTGCCCCAAAGGGCAAAAAGGACTGCTCGGATGCGTCCGGAACGTCGGCTTTAGTCAAAAAGGACATCCATTCCGTCGTGAGGACGCATACGGGTGAAAAATACATGAATGATAATTATAATAATATAAATATTGTTATATAATAAAATATAATATATACAAGCAAATAACGTTATATATATTATCAACGTTATATTATTATATATTATTATTATATAATAATATTATATATATTATCTCAGTTATAAAAAATAAAGATTCCTCTTCTCTAGCCTGTTATGAGAGAAATTATTGTGTACGGATATCGAATTATTGCATACGAACACCGCATGCAGAGATGCATGGTGTCCGATCCTGACCGTAGATCAGGATATATTTCAGCAACACCGCATGCAATAATTGTCGCGGATTCCAAAATCCCTAGCCTGTTATGAGGTAAATGATTGGGATCGGACACCGCATGCATCTTGCATGCGGTGTCTGTCCGTATAGAATAATTTTTCCTGTTATGATAAGATAATATAATATATGTTATGATAATATAAGATAATATGCCCCGTCGCCAAAGTCAGAGTTGTCAGACCTCGCCTGCTCCTCCTTCGTCGTCGACCTCATTGCAAGAGCCTCCTCGCCGCCGGCCTTGCTTCGCCGACCGCAGCGCCCTCCCCATCTCGTTTTGCGAGAAATAGTTAGCTCAGCTCCACTGACCGCAGCTCGCCACCGACTGCAACTCCCTCACCGCCGTTGTTGCCTCTTTTCTCGCCGGCGAGCCTCTGCCGACCTTCTCCGACATCTCCAGCCGAGCTTCTTTGTCTGGACTACCGTCCTCCACCGTTATTTCTTTTACTATCTTCTCTTTGGGACGGCCAACATTGTCGGATCTCTTTCACCTCGTCGGTAGTCACTTAGCCGGTGTCGTATTTCTGCCAGAGCAAAACAACGAAGAGAGCCTTAGCTTTTGCTTCTTCCTTGTCTTCCTCGCTCTGGTTACATTCTATCGGCGTTCGATCACTGCCACCTCGTCGCCTCGCTTTTCCGGCGACAAAATGCTTCGCTGGAGCATCTCGACGTTTCTGGACAGCGAACCTCGTCACCGTTCGGAGGGGTGTAGGAGTCTTGGACCGTGTGCAAAAGAGTTCCCAGACTTCATTGGGCTTCGTGCAAACCGCGCTACGGTATAACTCCTCTTCCCCTTCGCACTTTACTTCCTAGCTAGCCTTAGGTTGTAGTGGCACTAGGCGTGCGGATTCGATCGCCCGCACGGGGTGCGTGCGTCGGCAAGTGCAGGCGCAACGATGCATATGTGTGATAAATCATTTGTTTTCCTAGAGATGATCT